CCGACACCCTTGTCCCGCTCCGTGCGATGAGATAAGGTGTGGATGAAGATTTCCCCACGTAAAAAAAGTTTTTTTTCCGGTATTACCCCGCACCCTCTCCCCGGCGAGCGCGGGTGCCTATGAACGTTCCCTTCACGTAAAAAAAGTGATTTTTTTTCTTTTTTTTTTTTAATTTTTCCATCGAGACAACGATCTACAGTGAGATTCGTTATAACGTACCGCAGGCGTACCGAGCGAAAATTCAAAGTCGATTTTCTCGAAAATAAAGCCTCAAACGAAAAATTTTTATTCTATATTTTCGACTTCTTTTTTCGCGTAGAATCACCCCCTTTCCGCTTGTACCATCAGTTACCAACTACTCTGTATATTAGATATCGATACGTGTTTTATAGAACCCGAAGCTTCCTCGATTCGGTATATTTCTACCTCCTTTAGTCAAAATATACTAATGTGAAAATATATGTAATATTTTTTCACTTTATAAAATATGTTGAGATATTTGAAAGTTTCTATGTTTTTTACATGTTAAGTAAAGATATATAGTGTATAAAAATGTACAGTCTATTACGAAATATGCAATGACTGAATATTTTAAATTGAATGAAGAAAAACAAAGATGGCACAGAAATTGCGTATATAATAAAACTTTAATTTTCTCTAATTTAAAATATTATAATTATATTTATATTATATCATATTAATATCATAATTTTAATTCTCTAATTAAAAGGAACAGAACAAACGCCGTAGTCCTTATGGCTGGCATCGTCTATCTCTGTTTCGATTCGATTAAAAATAGTTTCGCATAGAATCTGTTCTGCTTGTCGTGAAATATGCAGCTTTGAACTCGCGACTTTCTCTGTGAGGAACGGACGTGCATATATGTGCTCACTTAATACTAATTGAGACCGAATTAACGAGCACACGAATAAAATGGAACTTGAACGTGCTATCGGTCGAGCACCGACGATATTATATTGTAGTTATCATGGTATTCTTCGATCCGTCAACTCTTGTTTTCTTTATCGTACGTACTTCTTCATTATCGGACTACGTCAACTCGTGGTCTGTTGTGTTCTAAACCTTGCTGCGTTCTTTTGATCATTTTCCAGCCAATCGTATTTTCTAACTTGAATAGGTTTTCAGTATAAATAAGAAATATATTAGCTTAAAGTTGACAGTCACTATATTCTAGCTTTACTTTATGTTGGCTCTAATAGCTAAATCGGCTAACTTGACTCTAAAAATAAATTCTTATTTACAATATCCAATACTGTATTCAATTTTCTATTAAGAAAATTATTTGTTATTTTTTTTGACGATTACATCGTTTGTTATTTGAATTCTTTAATCAGATATATAAATGGCTTGAAATTTTCCTAAAGTGTTATATACGAATAGAGAAAATTTTACAGGTTATTTATATTTTTGTAATTTCGAAAAGAACAATTCCCTTAAAACTATTTCTCTATGATTATCACGTAGTTTCTTAAAATCTTCTAGGAAAGAGAGAAGAAAGTTTCCGCTCGAACGATTACTAATCTATTCCAAATCGTGGAAGTTTAATGTGATTACATTACTATGGAATTCCTAGATGTGTGCAATTCCGGAAATAATTGTGAATCAAGGAAGATACACGAACGCATACGTGTCGCAAATATGTTCAGGGAAATGCGGCAATCCCGGGAAGGACGCGCGGCTTATTGCCAAAAAGCCTGATTGTCCTTGTACCTAAGTGAGGCATTCGAGTTTTTAGTTGTTAGTCAGAGGATTACAGAATCGTTTTTCATACTTTGTTATATAATTCCAGTTTTTTCGATGAGAAAAAGATTGGTGATTTTTAATACGACTCATGCTGTATTTATAATATAAGTAAAATCGGTATAAAATTAGCAACAAAAGGATTCTTATCTTTTTCGATTTAGGGAGATGTACATCTGTCTGGAGATCCGTAAAATAATTTCGAACTCTTAAAAAATAATATGTACTTTCTAAATTTTGTATATGTCTATCCTATTTCTTTAATGATCTTCTTTTGTTTTTAATGTATTTTGTCACACGTTGTGACTCGTGATTTTATCCTCCAAAGTCATTTTTTTTCATCTTCGAGTCCATCGATTTTCTCTTAAATAAGGCTGTATGTTTTTTTTATAAACTAATCGATGCACTTTTTATTGTTTATGGGAAGATATTGAAATACTTGTATCTGGAAACGATTAGATTTGAAGATATTTTATCTTTTTATATGATAAAGATTTTATAGATGTAAAGGTATCTTATTTTATTTTGTAAAATTAATTGTATGAAAGACAGTGAAAATATAAATATAGGTTTTAGGTCTTTCTTTGTTTTTCATATGATAAGTTTCATAAAATTAGAGTTAATAACTTTTGTGTAATATTTCTTTGCAAATAATATATGATATTAACATAAATATTAAGATAAAAGGCGAATCTATTTATTATAAAGAAATATACAATTATATCCTTAAAAATATCAAAATAATCGTATATGTTTATTTATACATATTTTTATTAAAAAAATTTTTTATTTTATTTTATTTCATTTCTCAAAGTTTCTTTAACATAAGCTTTTTCCTTTAGATGCTTCTTCCAAAATACTTCGGCCACGAAAGATGTTAATACAGACGAGCGTTAATCTTCTCATTTCGTCGTATTCGACTTCTGGGCGATTTCTTTACGAAATTCGTGCAGCGTCTTTGTATATTATATTTCGTGTTTCACTGCATCGACCATCAAGGTTATTTTTTAACGCTCTGGGAATTGATCAGATACGAGGTAAGCCTGAATATGCACGAACGGATGGATGGCGTTGATTTGATTACAGAAGCATGTCTGTAATACGCTCACGTAACTTATGAGAAACCGAAGATATAGTACACTAATGCTAAGGTTGACGTGATGCAATAGGGTTTTAAACGAATTAAAGCAGTGTCGCCAAGAATAGGCAAGAAACGCGTATTTGCTAATATCAGCACACCTGTTTCTTAAACATCATTTGCTTCTCAGCTCATTCGGTGGACCTTTCGTTTCGCATAAGTCAATCGCGATTTTACACTTTGTCGTTCATCGATATATTCAGTTGATTTTATCGTCTATCGGTCTTTCGACGAAAAGGAACGTATGTACCTGATAACAATGTCAACACGAGGATTCTCAGGTGAAAAACGTTACTGTTCATGAAAGGAATGAAAGTAAGAGTGTTGTGATGTGTCATCTGTATTTATAAATGTCCATCACATGTAGTTGAATGTCGCTTGGAACTTGGACTATGGACTACATTTTGCATCTTTATCATTTCCACTTTCGACGGTAGTTGAATTTGTTTTTAACATTGAAGTTGGACAATTCCGAGTCTTCCGTTGTTCGAGCAGTAAATAATTATTTTTGAAGAATGTTTCTGTGTATTTTTCGCATAATATCGGTTATTTTAACAAGTGTTTCCGATAACTGTAATTTCGATAATAAGATTTTGGTTAGATAGTACTAACGAAATAACTTTTAATAAAATGAAAATGTGTTTCAAAAGTAAATTCTGTTTTTCAAGTGTAAAAATATTATGATTATAGAAATTTTCTTTCCCAAGTAATCCTTTATATGTTAATGTTTTTATCGAACACATGGTTTGTTTTCAAATAAGGTTATGGTATGTATAAAATGTCTTATCTTTAATCGTAAAAATATATATTCGACAGGAACATAAGAATTCATAGAAGAATATATAATTATTATAGCATTCATAGTATTATATATAGTATAGTATAGTATAGTATAGTATATATTATATGTTATTCACAGTATTTATTCCTTTGTATGAAACAACTCGTTCAAATTAACCATCTTTAAATTACTTTATACACATCGTGTGCATTCAATTTCACATACTTCATAGAAATCGAAATGAATATCATCCATAGTTATGTCGAGAATTGTGAAATTAACATAAAACTAACCTAGTAACCTAAACACTTCTACTCAGTTTGTTATTCGCCTTATTAAATCGATGAACATATGGAACAGCATATCTTTAGCTTTTTATTTATTTACTTTTTAATTTATTTATATACATATATCCATTTTATTTATATTTTTGTGTTTTGCTTTATATTTTTAATTTGCTTTATACACTTGCATTTATCTTTCACTTGTTTATTTACATTTTCAAATTTATTTCACACTTAATCAACATAATCGCGATACTTGATTTAAGACAAACTCTCAGAATATAAGAAGATATAATTTAAATCTTTTATGAATGCAATTTCTTTTTTAGTGTTTAAATAAATATCTCAAGGAACTTTTTTCAGACAGCGAACTAGGAACGTTTCGACGAACTACATCCCTCAGATTGGCAAAATCATCGAACTCAAGTACCGTCAATAGCAATCAATCGTACGTGTCGTCGAACGATGGAAAATCATCGGTGTCCATAACATGGACCCCAGATAAAGGAGATACCATACCAGTTCGGCCCGCCAGGCACTCCGCACCTGCGATCGACGCACCTGCGCCGGAATACCTCGCCAGAAATCTTCTGCAGCTTGGCTGTCCCGCCGTGTCAATGCCCACGTAAGTCTCTCTGATCTATCGTGTGTGGACTAGTAACGGTTCAGTGGATCCCTCCGGATACATTCGTGGCAGAGATAGCGATTTCCGCAAACGCAATCGTCTCCGCGTTCTCTATCCCTCGTCTGGGATAGGAATACTGCGCATTTTGTTGCGAGAGGCTGACCATTGAGTGGTGCATAGGGTGTGTTACTTTAGATATAGGAGGATATAGGACCTCCCGTCCAGTGAATTTTGTGGAGATAAAATTATTTTGAGAATCGAATATTGTGATTAAAAACATAGAGTCGGATATGGTTAGGATAGCGGTATAATAAGTGGAAATAACATAGTGAGATCATAAATTAAAGCATTAAACAGAGACAGTCGTCGATGTGTCAATATTTAGGGCTGTATGTATCGCGTAGAGGTCCTCTGAATTTTAGACTACCAAAGTATTTCATTAAATCTGGATTGGTTACAGTGTTTGATTAAGATTATGATATTATAACGTTGTTGCTTCTTGTTCAGTAACAATCGTTATGCAAATAAAACTTAATATAAGATATTAAAGATTAGGACAAATATTTTTTGCACAAGGAATCTGAGTTGACGTCGTACGGACCTGAACCAGGCTCAATGTCCTTGCATTTTCCAAAATGTCTCAAATTACTTGTTTTGACACCCAAAACATGTTAACTAATTGCTGATTAATTTTAAAATTACATATCCTTTTTAATTATCACGCGTTATTTCTACATATGGTCATTTTTGTTCTTTGTATTCTACAAATCGTTCATATAGAATCTCGAATTTGTATCTTGCATTTCATCGTCGAATATATTTCGTTTTATTGAATGAAAAGTTTCTAGCTCATCGACGATACAAATATTTTATACAGATTAAAAATTCAGGATCACAGTCATAAAAAAATTTCGATCCAATTTGTAGACAACCCTACGACAGAATCAAAAATTTTCATTCGCGCTGGACCCGCGATTCTTCCGCTACGCTCCTGCCAGTCATCGCGATGCACACCGGTAGTTGCTTAATGAGGAAATTATTCTTATTTCATCAATCCATGAGGCAATTAAACGTCCACCGTAAACTCGTATCAGCCTAAGATGTGCACGTGTATCGCTCTGTTTCACTCGCGCTATTGCGGTCACCACGCAATAAAGAGAGACGGAAATAGATTGGGTTAGTCCGGGAAACAACATCGCGATCAGCTGACCGATACCGCGGTCCCTCTATCGGCCGTTTTTCCGAGATAGCGGTGTGTGCAGCGATGCGATCCCATCGTTTCAGTTAGATCGCATACATTCCCACGTGTACACACGTTTACAAATCAACTCGTCTATATAGCTATACAACCAGCAGCGTGGTGTTCGGTCAATAGCTGGCAGGACTGGCGCAGACGCGCCGAAACAGCTGAGTGTGCGTTCACGTACATCCAATGGTGCTGTACCATTGGCGTACATCCGCGAAAGCCTCGTCTAGTAGCGAGGAGTCGCACGAGCGCGGACTGCAGCACGTTCGGCACACCGCATTGCTGTATTTTCACCGCAAACTTTTGTTGGAATCACGTAGTCCACGTTGTATACCCTCGCACTTTGATCGAGAACAAACCAAACGAGTTTTGCCTATTTTCAAAATACTCAAATTGCGTCGAGATGAAGGAAGTTGGTGCATCGTGTTAGAAGAGGGATTCTTCGAAAGGTGGTTCGAATCTGTCGGTGGTTAGTCTCCGAATACAAGAGGAAAACAACAGGAGGAAGAGGATTTGCGAGAGAAAAAGTATTTATATGTCATCCGATAAAAGTTTCATTGATCTGCCGAGCAGCTTCTCAGAGAAAAATGATGCTGCAACCGTATTGACGTTCGAACGTCTCCACGAAAAGTTGTCAAGGTCTTCGTTGTTATGTAGCATGAAGACCGGAAGGAGTGGATAGGAAGTCTGGAGTAATTGAAGCGACTATTCGTGAGTCGTGGGAGAAGACCTAATTTTAAGTCAGTTTTTGTATGTGACTGTGTAGCCGTGTAACGTGGGACAGTGGCGCCCCTCTACTGGACTGCTAGCTACGATAACACTCATCGCAGGTGTGACTTTTTAAACTCGTTTCTCGTGTCATCCATTACGTCCCGTGTCCCATAACGGTATTTTGGCCAGCTATGTATTTCTAGACGTCACGAAAGTTACTAAATCACAGACTCATTCTTATATTCGTCGATTATGACTCTTAAATAGAATCGATTTTTCATGTTACAAATAAGAAAGAAACTTTCTTTCTTTTTACCTTGTGCCCTATTATCTTGAAATTTACGTCACATAGAAAAAAACGAACCTTAGTGCGCGTCGTCTCTGTAAGGTTAAACATGTCATCGTTGACGTATGTGGATCATTTCCTTCGCGTTGTTGCATCTAATATAAGCTCTTATTATTCTATTTCCTGTCTATTTTGGTGTATTTTAAACTGCAATATTTATTCTATATTCGATCTCAAAGCAACGAAACATTAGATCGTTATACGTTATTTCCACAAATTTCAAACAAAAACTTTTTAAAAATCGTTAAAGATAAAATTTGCTAAATCCAATAATAATCTTATACTAATTCCTTCGGAGCAACTTCATAAATATCAAAAATCGCAATAACTATGCGAGAAGTCACGATTATCGACTGTCGAATTAAATTAATTTATCGATGAGTTGGATTTGCGTCGCTCTGTAATCAAATCCGTTGTTTGCGACCAGTGTCGTATAAATTTCAGATATCATGCAGTGGTCGTTGGATAAAAAAAGAGCATTTTTAACGAGGAATTCGGAGGGAGACCGACAGTGTATTAATTAACGATATTTAAGATAATGATCGTAGACCGATTTAATATTTCGAATGTATCGTCTTTTTTCAGACCTCGTGGAGGAGTAGGATCTGAGCCTCCGCAGAGTAGCGACAGCGATGAACATTCGACGACGCATACCCAACAGCAACAACAACAACAACAACAGCAACAGCAGCATAGTCATGGGCATGGGTATGGACAAGGACAGGTGGATATCTACAACTTGCCCAAAGTCCAGGTGTCGGGACCATCGAACATTGATGAATCCTCTTCCGTCGTCAATGGGTAAGTCTGATGTTATCCTTTTTCATTTATTTCTGACGATGATCGTTTAACGTTTATGATCATCAGCATATTAGAAGTCTGATGCACTGTAATAACGTAATTTTCCTAGAAGGCTGCGGATGTTTATGCATTTATGAAAAATTTGAATGTGCCAGAATATATATTATATGGGAAGATATGAGAAATATTCAAATATTTAGAATAATATTTAGAAAAAAAGTTCTATTTAGATTTCCTTTCCTTAGTTGTGTCTGTGTTATCCGTGAAGAAATTTAGAAGTGAATTTACTCTCGGGGAACTCTTAAACAATTGAACTAATATTATTAGCGAAATTTTACAAGTCTCAGAAAGTACCAATATACATATTTTCTTATGTAACAGATATAAGTTTGGTAACAAAACGGATGAAATGTCAGAAATAAATTGCACAAATTTCAAGTTATTTGATTATTCTTTCCTAATGAATTATTGTGCAAGAGGATCCAGTAACTATATTACAAATAACGTTCAAAATAAATATTTTTATTTATTGTATAAAAAAGATGAGAAAAATGCAATGCATAATTCATCTAGATAAATATAACCCTTTGCAGTTGAAAAAAGGAACACAACTCTATAGTTTACTTACTCTAGAAACATACAAAATTTGCATTGCAAAGCCAACCTAGTATGTTGTCTCAAACTTTCTACTGCATAGTTCATCACTCATTTGACTTTCCTTGCAAATGAACCCAATATTCTGGCCTCGCATTTGCACGTATAGTTTTACATAAGACTGTTAGTATATTCTCTTAATACATATATCGATCGTCAGTGCATCATATTTAGTACACCAGGTTGGAAATTAACACTGACTGCTTTCAAGCCACATAGTCTGTCCGCGATGTTACCTGTTTTCTTGAAACTTCTCCACAAGTCTGATCGTGGATTATAAACGAATTTATTTGCACTCTGCCTGTAAATATTATATTTTCAAAAATATTTCGCTTTACGCATATATTTATTTAATGTTTCGCAATATTCTCAGATCAATCGTCTTTGAGATACTTTGAGTAACGAAGTCACTGATACACTTCAAATAAAAAAGACACTAACTTAAACTTACAATGATACACTAAAAATACTGTTCTCCGAACGTTCTTAAGACCAGCTCGTAACAGCTTTTCACGATATACCTGTACTTGACTTCCAGTTTAGCAATCCACGTAAGAGAAAGAAACATGTGTTCTACGTTAAAATTAGTCGCTACGTACATATTGTACAGGTTTTGATTAAATCTGTATATAATTCGATACGATGTTGATAACGCCAAATATAGACAGGAAAAGGTGCATCGTGGTTTCGGTATGTTCTATCACGTGGTTCGTTGACGTTGGATCGATTCGTTCCGCATTGCAAAGCGATAATATTTTTAGCAAGCCCACCTGATATCACGACATAAATAATTTTTTCGATAAGGAAAACGCGAGAGTTCCTCTCTGGCTTCGTCCGGTTACGTAACTTGCCGAGTTCCATCGAAGTGTTTGCGTTTCTCGTGGAATGATTTATTTCCAAGCAGTTAAGAAACGAGCAAATAATTGCGATAAAATATGCATGCGGCGACCCATAGCATCAACTTCCACGAAAATTTGACTGCTCTAGAAAGATAGCTCGTGCGTTATGGAAATTTTCCAGAACCGGATGTTCTTTGACGTGGTATAGTAGAAATGGGATTAACTTTGGCATTTTTAGGGAATTACAGAGTAGACTCTTGGTTATCAGAACACGGACTAATAGAACGAAAGATGTTATCGGAAAACTTAGAGATGGTTCCTTGTAAAGAGAATGCCAACGATAAATTCTTCGCCCTTTGCACCACGAATTTTATTTCGATTTCGTTACCAGCAGCTCCCAACGCTTTTAAGTGTTTTATTTGAAATTTACTTTAATTAAAAGATAAGACAATTTAAATAAATAAAGGGAGAAACAAATTCATTTAAATACCAGTTTTATTCACACTATTGTTGCATTTTGTAATTTTTAAGTGTATGATATATCTTGAAACAATTTCCAGGATACAATCCTGGTTTTCTTTCGCACATTTCATAAAAAAGGTAGGACTGAAAGAATGTCGAGTGGAACTCGAGAAAGGAGCTCCTGAGATAAAAATCGAGTCACACTCGACATAGAAGTGCAAAGGGTTAATAAGTACTTCTCCAGTTACTATTTCTTCATTCGTCCTTCTCCTGCAATCTAATAAAGTTTAAGGAAATTGAAGCATTTATTACCATAATTGCAGTTTTCTGAACTCCTGTGTCTATTATTCCAGTACATTTTTTTATCCTGATAAAACAATAAGTTACTTTATTTAAATCTTCAAATGATATTGCGTTTGTGCAACTTTTACGAGAATAATCCTATACGTTACCATTAAAACCGTGTAATACTTGTTTCCTATATTCTTCGTATAACACACAGTTTACTATTACAGATTAAAATCATTCGTAATCAATATGACCTTGCTACGTCTAAAATGGGATTTCTTCCATCCAATCCAGTTTAAATCGGAGAAAAGTCACTTTCCTTTTGCGTTTCTCCGCCAGATTTAGACGCGATCAATTATTACACGTGTACATACACTTCCGTTCGTAAGTAATTAGGACACTGGTTTCATGCGAAGTACGACAATGGATCTAAAGTATCAAGGAAGAAAGTTGGAATTTTATACTCACGCAAAGTTGCAATTCAATGTACTATGGGAAAAGGAAAGATTTATTAAGATTACTTTGTAAATCGTAAAGTTGTAAAAATTATGTATAAATTTTATTAAAAGTTATTCCCGCGGCTTCGCGCCAAAAGGAGAAATAATACGGTGGCGGGCCTTTTTTTAAAACGGTACTTGCGCGTAAACCGTTACACGTCGATGAACGGATTTTCCATTAGTAAATAAGCCGCAAGCATTGGTCACTTATTTTTAGATCAACTTTTATACAACCAAGGTTGTGGCATCCATCGATCTAAAAATATACTCTTCTGGAAATTCCTTTTTATTCGACTTATCGATTGCCCGTAAGGTAGTTCGAACGATTGCTTATGAATCATTTAACGTCGCTTGTCTTCTAATCGTGAAAATGTACATGAAACGCTGATTAAACGCTCGAGGTTCTACCACGCTTTCTGAATCCGTGAAATATTTTCACGTTGAAATCTTAAAAATCTCACATTCTTTTATGTAAGTATTCGTCGTCATCTACACAATGCAAAAATATCCCCTCGATCCCCTTTATCGTAAAACAAATAAAAAGGGGAGGGTAAACATTGCTCCGAGAAGGATATAACGTTTGTCTTTAGTATCTTTTATGATCTAATTAATCCTCTCATATCCATGGACGAGAAATCTCGTGACGCAGTTCCATTTACGCTACAAACGAAATATCTCGAGCGTCTGTTTTGCGATATTTCCAATTGGATGCGGTTTCGGTTAAAGAAAAAATAAAAAAGATATTTTTGCAAATGCAACATATTCTACGTTCAGCATTGCCAAATTCTTTCGTTCCGTTGATTTTTGTTTGAAACGATGAATAAGATACTAATCTTAAGCCTGGACGTCTTCAGGGACGAAGTTATTAAGGCCACAAGAAGGTAATTATTTTTTAATTTTTAGTTTTAATATTTATCGAAAATATGTTTGTAAATATCAAAAAAGTTAACAACTGAAAATCGCTGAAATTGAAAAAAATTGGGATAATGCTTTTTATGTACGATAACCTCAAATTCCAAAAAGTTTTCTATTCCATATAATATGTACATCTATAAAAATGATCTGTGACAAGTATTCGAAAATTTTTGTATGTTTTTTTTTGTACGTAATTACGAACTCCATGTTTGTGAAACGGGTGCAAGAAATAGAATTGTCTGTCGTCGTGTGTTCTAACGAGCGTTTCGTGGAAGGGGAAAAAATGAGCAAAGTACGAGGGACGGGAGGCTATTCGAGATTCTTGCACGGGTTTTTCATGGTGCGACAGAGTGCGGAGAAAGCCAGCGAGAGACCAAGTAGATACAATATATTGTGTATATGGCAGCGTTTTCTAAATTTTTTCGAGTTTCATGTTATAACAGTGAAATAATCTACCTGCATTTAAGTAAAAAATACTTTTCAAACGATAAGGACTCATTAAGAGCCATTGAACGAAAACACGTTAAAAGTCATTAAACCAAAAGACGTTAAAAGCAGGCTATACAGGGTGGTTGGTAACTGGTGGTACAAGCGGAAAGGAGGTGATTCTACGCGAAAAAAGAAGTCGAAAATATAGAATACAAATTTTTTTTTAATTTTTTTCATCGAGACAATGATCTACTGTGAGATCCGTTATAACGTACCGCACGCGTACCGAGCGAAAATTTAAAGTCGATTTTCTCGAAAACAAAGCCTCAAACGAAAAATTTTTATTCTATATTTTCTATTCTATATATTCTATATTTTCTATTATTCTATATTTTGAGGTTTAGGTGACCATCTTGGGTCATCAGCTGTAAAACATGTGTTCGTTGTAGCAACACTGAAGACCAGAGTTTTCTTATACCAGAGTATAAGGACAACTTGATGAACATAATGAGTCAACAACTAGTAAATACTCGGCGGGTTCGCTAGCTACGCTCGTAAAGGGCGTATGCTGTAGTAGGATGTCGCGAGTTCGAGACCACTCTTGGGCGAGCCAAGTGGAAAACCAAATATCATCTAAGAAGGTATAT